GTGGAAGGTGTCCCTGCCCATGGCAGGGGGTGGAATAGGATGATCTTTGAGGTTCCTTCCAATCCAGGCCATTCTGGGATTTTATGATTCCATGATCTTCCCAGCAGATTTAAGCATTCCCAACTCCTCTTGTGAGTTTGTGCTCATGGGCTGACCAGATTCAGATTAGAAAGCAACACGTTTTTACACAAGGAATTAATTCATCCCACTTTTCCCTCACTGGCCTTCACTGATCTCTTTTTCTTTTGGAGCCATCACCACTGCCTGGTTGTCTCCCTAGAAGTAGCACAAGTGTTTTGCAGTTTGCAGAGCTGACCTGCACATCCTTGTGTGGCTGTAAAAGCCAAAAAACTCCCCGAGAGCTTTGCCCTCCTCATGACACCAAACATGACGTGACATCCTTCAAACCACACCACCATTATTTTCTTAAAATCACCTTCCTCAGTGTATCTGCTCAGCCACGAGCAAGAGATGCTGAACTGCCTCTTCAAGAGATGCTGCCAGTCACTGCAAGATCTTTTAACTTGGATTTCCCCCCGTTTCAGAATTGTTGCCAAGGAGATTTGGGGAGCGATGACAGTGTGAGGGGATCCCCATGTTCTGCTTCCCAAAGGCTGGGTCTGCTGCTCTGCAGGACTGGCTGCTTGAGGGGTCAAATGAACTCTCACAGGCCAGACTGTGGAAATCTTTATCATCAAGATTAATTTCCAAATAAATCCAAAATTAGTTCCAAATCAGGATGAGTGAGAACCTCTGCTGGTCGTGGCTGTCCAAAGCTTTTGCATCCACCAAGGAGGATGCAGAAGTTGATGATCCACCTCATCCAACAGGTCAGCCTTGAGCAACAGATTTGCTGAAGGAGACCTGACCATTGTCTCATCCTCAGGAGAGGAGGCTGTTCCCTTTGCCTCTGGTTAAACAGACTGTGCCTGTTTCCATGGTGATAAGGGACACACTGAAAAAACACTACTTTGCAAATCTTTAGAAGCCTTTGCAGTGCTGTGCTCCAGTGATTTCACTAAAGATAGTGGTAATGATAGTAAGATGTCAGGACTTTGTAATGTCAGAGGTGTTAAGAAGAATTGCATTCAAATAGGGAGTCCCACAAGCCCAAATCAGAGGAAACTGGAGAGTTACACCCAATAAATAGTTTCTTTTATTCTGATGTTCTTCCCAAGGCATTTCTTGTTGCTCTCTACTGAAGGCAACATGTTAAGCTGGATGGACCAGTGGTAAAGTCCTGTTTGTCCTCTCTGATGTCCCTGTATTCCCAAACCAAGAGCAGCTGAGACAATTTTGTGGCTCTTAGACGCATGGATTAGTGGTGGGCTTGGTAGTGTTGGATTAATGGTTGGATTCAATGTACTTAGAGGTCTTTTCCAACCTCAGTGATCCTATCATTCTAAATAACACTCCCAGAAGTTTGGATCATGTTGCACAAGTTAACTGGCTTGTACAGATACAGTTCAAAAAAGGACACCCATCTAACTGTGAAAATCCTCAGAAACACTCAAGTTTCATTCGAGCTGGACTGGCCAGCAAGGCAGGAGTCACCTCACATAAAACATGCAGGGATAGGAATGGCTGGTCCATCAACACTGGAATGAAGTAGGAATGTTTCCAGATAAACAGGCAATGAAGATGGGGAAGAGCCTTAAGGGGAAGATGTTTGAGGAGCAGTTGAGGGCACTTGGTGTGTTCAGTTGGAGAAGAGGAGACTGAGGGGAGAGCTCATGGCAGTTCCAGTTTCCTGGGCAGGGGCAGAGGAGGGGCAGGGACTGAGCTCTGCTCTGGGGGGACCAGGGACAGCACCCAGGGAATGGCTGGAGCTGTGTCAGGGCAGGCTCAGGTTGGATCTCAGCAAAAGGTTCTTCCACCAGAGGGTGGTTGGCACTGACCAGGCTCCCCAGGGCAGTGGGCACAGCCCCAAGGCTGCCAGAGCTCCAGGAGGGTTTGGCTGATCCTCTGGGGCACAGGGGGTGACCCTTGGGGATGGGCCTGTGCCGGGCTGAGGGTTGGACCGATGATCCTTGTGGGTCCCCTCTAACCAGGTGTGTTCTGTGACCGCCTGTGCCGCAGGAAGGCAGAGCCCCGGGGCCGCTCCCGGTGCCACAGTGCAGCTGCAGCGAGTAGAAAATGAAAGAGCATTTGCATATCTCCCCATTTCACAGAAAGCCGGTGGAGGGCGGGGGCCGGCTGGTCTGGGGAACTGTTCACCTTCTGACATCAGACACCTCCGTGCAGGGCTCCGAGAGCCCGGCAGAAATCCCGGAGCAGGAACATGAGGCTCCTGCCCCTGCTCGCAGCCGCGTCCTGCCCTCACGCCCCCGGGGCCCTCCTCGCCCTCTGTGCCGCGGGTGATGAAGGTTTTTTTCCGGATCACATGAGCCAGGATGAAGGGGGAAAATCCTGCCAGGAGCAAAGAGATGGGCTGCAACTTGAACCCGAGCGAGGGGAGATACAGGGCAGCGCCTCGAGAGCTATATAAGAATGTGCCAGGCACAGGAGCAAGCAGTTGTTCAGGTGAGGGACTCGCGTGAATCAGCCATGCATGGGAATGAAGGCGCTGTTCCGAGGAGGCTCGGGGGCACCAACAGAATCTATTTGTATTTCATCATCGCCACCCTCGTCGCGTTGCTCGTCTTTGCTCTGGCCACCATCATGATCCTGGTCGTTCAGAGGACGGTAAGAGGCGTCTTCACTGGATCTTTTCTTTTTCCCTTCCCTTTCCCTTTCTTTTTCTCCTTTCCAAAATTTACCGGTTGCTCCCTCTCGTTATAAATGCACGCACGTGAATTAGGGGAGAGAAAGGTGAAACTAAGAGGGAGAGCAAAGCACTTCAAAAGAAGATGACTCTTCTCCACGGGCAGTTTTAATCTCTGCTCTGTAAATGGGAATAGAAAGCTCATGATCCAAGACGCCAGCCAGCCTCTGTCCTGCCTCCTTAGGAGAGATGGAGGGAAGTTCCATCGTGCCTCAGTGTTTGCTCCCTGGTTTTGTGTGTCACCTGTTCTTTCTTTGGAGAACAACCACGTTTTGAGATGGTTTGGTCTGGTCTGGTCGTGCCTACCTGTGTTCATCCAAAATAGGGATTAATTCCAGCCATGGATGTGCCAGAGGACACTTCCATGTGACCCAGGTGGTGCTGCGGGTGCGTCCTGGCAGATGCAGAGCTCTCCTGATCCACCCAGAGCAGTGGATGGGGGCAAAGCAGCTCGTTCCTGCTCTCTGTCCTGTGCTGGGGTGTGATTTTTAATGCACAACTAGAGCTACAGCAAGGAGTGCTGAGGATGTGAGACGAGGTCTCACAAAAACAACTGTTCCCTCAGCCCACAGGCATTATTTCCTCCTTAAAAGAGAGGAGAGCTCTCGAGTGCATCTGGGGTTGGGTGGGGAATCAGTGAGACAGTGACAGAGCAGAGCTACAGGTGCTTGTGGGTATAAAAAGTGCATTTTTAACCTCACCAGGAGCATTTCCATCAAATTCACCGGGGTAAAATGCCAGGCTGGAAGTTTTACAGGCTTTGGAATCTCATTGCAGAAATGGAAGTGCTGAAGTACTTCCACTCCTGTTCATACAATGCAAGCACCAGCAAAGGGCTGCTGGAAAACAAAATATGATCCTTTGACTCAATATTTTCTCTTCCTAAATTTACCCTGTGCCATTTGTGTGCACATTACCCAGAAATGAAACCATGAAGGCTTGACTGATACTTCTTTAAGCTCCACCAGAGAGGAGTCATTTACCTGTAATCAGTGTTCTTCCAAAAGAGAAGCAGTTTGAGGGCAGTTAAAGTGAGACATGGGGATTTTTAAGTGATAAATAGTGGCATATTAAGGGAGATCTTTAAAATAACAAGCTGGGTAATTACAGACTTGCCACAGCTTTTCTATATAATGAGGCTTTTATTTGTACTTATTATGAAAGTAAGCAGTAAATTACCTCTCCACCAGGATAAACACAGTTACACCAGTAACAATATCACTGAAAGAGTCAAGGTTTTGACTTAAAAGAGTAATGACACCGTTGCAGCTGCTTTGAAAATGAGCTTGGCTGAAGGAGGAAATAGGAAGCTGAGGTGTGTGAGAAACAAATAAAATCAAGCAGCAATTTTCCGCTCTGAGGAGAATTCGGCAGTTAAAGCCACAAACTGTGCTCTTGCTCTCAGGGAGATGCACGACCCCAAGTTCAGGAGCAGTGTAATCATCCTCCATCCGTGACTGGTTTGGATTTCCAGACCAGGGAGCAAGTGTTGATTCTGTGAGACAGAAACAATTCAGCTCCTGGTGGCACCGTCAGGGGAAGGCTGGGCACAGACTGCTTTGGGAAACACAGCTGGGGTTGGGCTGAACATCTCATAGCTTTGACTTCAGCAGCTCCAGGAAAAGGGACTGGAGAGTTTTGGGGCCCTGTGGAT